AAACCACCACCAAGCAGCTTAAGCAGAGAAGAACAACATGCGCTCAAGGAAATACGAAAGAATACAAGCATTGTCGTCCTGACAACTGACAAAGGAAACGCTACAGTCGTCTTGAACACAGAGGAGTACGAGCAGAAAATCCAGAACACCATGAAGAGGACTATTAGGTCAGAAACCTTCCCCCCACGTTTGTATGGATTACCGAAGATTCACACRAAAGGAATACCACTAAGACCAATCGTCAGTGCCCCGGGATTACCAACTTACGATATGGCAAAATATCTAGCCGCCCTTCTGCAGACACACATCAAGGATTCCGAACATTTCATTAAGAAGATCCAAGACCTCAGACTGGAACCTACGGACATACTGGTCAGCTTCCGTATGAGTTTGTTAATGAACCTCTGCTACCCTGTTTTTTTTTGCAAAAAAAAGGCATACGATAAAAACTGACCGACAAGTGTTGACAAATGGACATTCTGAACTCACAATTTAAACCTGAATCCAAATATGAAATCAAAATGGGAATTTTGCATTTGAAAAACCGATCATGACGTCGATTTAAACATATTTTATTTAGACTTGCAGCAACCGATTATGGTGCCTACCAAATTTCATATTAATACGATTTTGGGAAATAAAAATGTTTCTAACGAACGGGCAACTTGAATCACTCTGTATTATTACGTACCCGTAAAATCTATAAGTAGGCGTTTTTTCGGTAGTTTATTTTTATCTTAGGTAACTTTATTCTTATAGATTTCTCTTTAATACATGTATTAATTTTATTGTCGGCGTAGCCCTACCGTAGCCTTTCGGAGCACCGAGGCTCCGCGGAGCACACTTTGCTTGCCTTGCTTGATCATGTAGCGTTCAAGTATTAGACTATCCGTTTCGCAACCACCCTGTAGCCTCGATAATGGTGCTTTAACCATGCCATTTAAGGAAACAAAGAAATTGTTCAACCTTGAACCAATTCAACTAAAACCTGTGTGCATGCATATACACTAAAATTAATTTCACATGGTGTTATTTTATCTAAAAGTTGCTGTACAATGTTGCTAATTATTATTAGACGGGGAGCACAGTAGCGAAAATAGATACAATTGCGTGAGCATTTATTACATCCTACTCAGCTTTAAAACTGCAGTGTTTCAGAACTACTGTTTTACATATCTTTATATGATGTATTTATGATTTGGTTGAAATGGATTCCATAGCAATTGGAAGCTACGCCACTTAGAGTTACAGAACAGGGAACAGGTCAATTAGAACAGGAGGACGGTTCTGAAGATGGCAGACGTCCTCGATTTTCACACAAATGTTTTCAAAACATGTTATTAATTTTTTTATTTATTTATTAGTGTTTAGTTGATCGAAATCGTATAAATGAAGTATTCAAGATGAAGTGATAGTTTAGAGCCTCAAACGTTATGGAACTGTAAACAGAGCGACGTATTTTCCACAAATTATTTAATGCTTGCGACTGGAGCTCTCGTTTAGTAGGAAATAGTAATAATTGAAAATTCTGATGAGCCATAAACAACGAAAGCTTGAACATTGCGACAACAACTGCTTTAAGCAAATTTTTTAGAACTGATAATAATTTCAGAAAAGTTTCTTAGAGTAACTTATTGATTTATTATAACTCGTAATCGCTAAAACTTGCAAGAACTTTATACATAGACAACTGAAAGAAACTAAAAATTATTAATTCTATTTTCTTAGCCTTACTACTAAAGCCCCCTACATCTAGGAATACACGATCCTAAATTTTAACGCAGATATAAGTAATTTTATACGATATTTACATTACGCTCAAAGTTTCATTGAGTAGGCCCATCAAACCGTACGTTGTAAGATTCGTCCATATAAGACGGTTGTCTCTTCTGACCAAAATGATTCCAAGTAAAAGTAGTAGTAGTGTGGTGGGGGGACCCGAATGGGTCCGGCGAGTAGGCCTTAAAGGCCCTTTCACCATTTATTTACAGGGTGATTCAAAATTGGCGTCATTCCTTTTAAGGGGTGATAGAGGCTCCCTTGGGCAGTACGAGAAAAATATTTAAATTTTTTTTTCAAAAATTTCTAGAAGATATTAACAGTTGAAGATCGAGTTTCAACTTTGTTATTTAGAATTATTTTGAAATTGTTCCATGTTCAATTGGTAGGATATTGGAATTTTTTGATATCAAAAAAGCTCGGCTGGTTCGCAGATTCTTCTGGCTCTTTCGGTGAGAGTTTTGATGACTCCTCTTTTCTGACTGGGATGATGGTTTGAACCACTGTGCAGGTACCGGTCGGTATGTGTCGGTTTTCTGTACACATCAAGATTTATTTATTTTAGATTAATCAATGATGATAAATAATTAGAAAATATTAAGTATGGGAAAGTATTGGTATACATTTCATAATCGAGTGAAATAAATTACTCAACTCCAAAATTTATGAAATTTTCATAGGCGGTAGAAGTGCAAAAACAAGAAGCGTATAGCGTAAGAACTTACAAATCGCTGCTCGAATGCTCGAATAATTTAATTTTATATAATAATTTATATTGCGCATGATTAAGAAGGAATAAAATCCTTTATGTACTCTTATCAAAATGTGTATTAATCAAGTTTAGCTAAAAAACCAGAATCATATATGTTTCAAAAAACGCTAATTATTTGTTTGATGAAAAAGACGCTACTTAATGGGTTAAAAAAGATTTTAACTTATTATAATTGTTTTGAGCCTTCACTTCATCTTGCATATTATAATTCATTGCACCTCCTAAAAGTGTCATCTATTTGCAATCAAAATTTGCAAGTGTAAAACCAAAAATGGATTAGTCATGTGCATTTTCAATTTGATTATTCAACAAATCTTGCCGTTGAAATTTTAAATAAATTCCACTTTGATGTGTTTTGTATATCATGTGCACTCCTACTATTGCAATTACGATAATATCACTTGATTCGACCTCTCTATATAAGAATTATTTCATAACCGGACTAATTGTGCGCTACGCGATAGTACTACAGACCGCGTATTGAAAATCGTCAATATGGTTAAGGTAAGTTAATCCATTACATATCTAAGTTCGCAAACTTATTCAATCGTTCTCGATCAGATAACCAAATCGGAGCTGCTGTTTTAATTGAAAACAAAGTTAATTGTTTCCATTCATTTTTAATTTCCAAATACAGCGACTTATTTAGATTTAACAGAACTTGCTGCTTCTATGAAAACATAACTTCGTATTTTGAATGTCGACATTATATTGATTGACCATTAGTTCTAATGATAACTTACTTAATAAAAAAATTTCGATACTCTTAAACGTAAATTACCTGATGCATCATATTTTCAAAGCTGGAACCGTTAAAGAAAAATAATTGAGAAGTGCCCAAAAAGCATGAATTCACAATATGCAACATAAAATTGGCAAAGTACACCAACTAAAAGAAAAAATATTGAAATAATAAATTGAGGAAACTTTTTTGTTAAATTAATAAACTAATATATTTATGACTAATGGGTTTTTCGGGTTTTTAGGCCGTCGTTCGGTAGAATTTCTTCTTGACGTTTCGCAAGCACGAGTAGCTTGCATCTTCAGAAGTGGTTTGCTTGAACGCT